TATAAAGTATTTCCTTCTGCATCATTGGGCTTAGCACTTCACAAAACAGTAAGTTATTTAGAGTTCTTCCCCCTCCTCTTAAGCTCTCAACCTTCTGACTACAGGTTTGGTTTAAACCTCAGAATCTTAGAAAATATCAGGCAGGCTATTCTATCTTTCAACAGTTGGCTGAATCAAGAACCAGTTATAAATCTAAATAGAAGAAACATTGCACAAACATCTAGTGATTCTTCTAATTACATGTAAAACTCATGTATGATTATACTAGCTATTGGCTTAGCCCCATGGAGGGTTTTGCAAAATATAAAATACCGCCTCTTGAGGAAGCTACCAGATTATAACTCCCAACCCCATAAAGATGTCTTAAATGTGGAATAGTATTACATTCCCTTTCCCCCTTATCAATCCTCATAACTTACTAAAGCTGATCAATTATTTATTTAAACTGGCTAATTCAGTGTTAACCGAGAAACCTAATTATCTACGTTTTGTTGTAAAGCTACTTTGAAAATATCTCTTGATAGCTAACATTTTAGGGGGGTGGGAATGATATATTGGGTACATCCTATAAATGAGGAGAAAGTATAAATAGTACCTAGATCCCAAGAACACTGTATTTATTATACTGATACATGTGCTTCCATCAAACCTTTTCAAGTATCTCCTTTTATTCATGAGGAGGAGAAAGAAGAGCAGTTATAAAGTTAAGCCAAGGGGATTCTGAAGTAATCTAGACAAGAGATGCCAGTTTAAACCAGGGGATGGTTGTATTCTTAGGGTGTGTCCCCAGCCAGTGGCATCTGTAAATGTAGAGGACCCACCAGAGTCCTAGGAAAATGAGAATGGTTATTTTGGGGATCATCCCACATTTCTGGACCTCTCTGCAACCTTTCCCCCCCTGTTCCCTAATGTATCCAGTGTGCTAGAGTCCTTTGCCCAAGACACTTAATTCTTTCCTCAATCAAATGCTTGATTCTTTGTGTATGCAATAGCATTTCTTAAAAATGAGATCATCAGAGCAACCTTTGGTTAATATAAAGATGTGATGAAACAAGTGAAGAAGACAACTTTAAAGTGTAGTTTTGTTAGCCAAATGTGTATTTTATATTTGGTAGAATATATCCAGGGAAATAGGGAAAGCCAGGTATAAAGTAATTTAGTTAAAATGTAAATGTCATCACAGTATATGTTGATATGTCCTGGAATGTGCTTTCACTGTACTGTTTTTGAAGTCTGAGAGGCAGTGTAGTCAGATATAATCACTGAGATTTCCAGAAGTAAATCCTATTTCTCTTACTGTACTATATACTCCTGGAAGGCAGATGCTATGTCTAATGTCTCAATTTCTCACAAAATACCTACCTTCTGTCTTTTAAGAGATAATATTTATTGAATATTGTTTTAATATTTGTTTCTTCTACAAAGGACATGATTCTCATCATCTACATCTCAAGCACAGCTCTCCAAATGCCTACATTACAACTCATTTCTTAGACCTACACATTCCACCATCCTGCAAGGCCACATTTGCAACTACCACTTGGACACTGACACATGAGTCCTTAAGCATTTTAAACTTTACATCACTAAAACTCACTTTTCTTTTAATCTGTTTATTTTCTTCTGTGATGGAAAAACAGCGTTCTACCCTCCAGAATCTGACTCCAAGTCTCAACAGGGCCCTCTGCAGTTGCTCTTGAATCCTTTCCATCTTCATTGCCTTTCTGTTGTTGCACAGACCCTTGTTACTTCTTTCCAATGACTGGAATAACTCTTCTGATTTCAATGCCTTCCTTGCACGGTCCCATTTTAAACACTGCCAGAGCCATCTTCTAAAGCATGGCTCTGCTTTCATCCTGCTCTTCCACTTCCGTTGGCTTCCCAGTGGCTTGGCATGGAACACTTTTCCCCAGGTATCATGCACTCCAGCTAATCCCAACCCAACCTTCCTCTGTTCAGTTTGTTTTCTCACCCTCTCTTCCACCCCCATTTCTGCCTATTTATCCAAGACTTCTCTGAAGTTGATCCCTCATCCTTCTCTTCCCTACTCCTTCTCTCCTGTTTCTTCACACTAGATCTAGTTTTCCCTTCCTCTATATTCCCACAGCCTTTAGCTCATAAACAGACTTTCTTATGGTACTTATCACATTCTGTCCTGGAGAACAGCAACTGTATCTTATTCATTTGAGATTCCCCCTCAGCATCTGGCAGAGTGCCTATAATTGTTGGATATTCAGTATTTATTTGATAAATTAAATTACTTCAAATGGATCCCCCCCCTTTTTTTTAGTATCCCCAATACACAAATATCATTCAAGAGCTTATGCCACTTTTAAAGTTATTTTCTAAGAGAAAATCTTCCCTACAACCTTTTCCCCCCTTTAAGAAAAGATATAAATAATTTCTAGTAGTATTTTCTTTTTAAGATGAAGGTGGCAGTAAATTTTCAAAACACCTCAATATATCAAATTCCTTTTTTTCTGCTGGGGGGGGGGAGATTAAAAGGGGAAAGCCTTTTCTTTTATATAAGTTGGTCATAGCATCTTGAAAACCAATCTTAAAATACTATTGTTTCTTTAAATGACTTATGAATTTCTATAAATACTTTTTACTTAAAGTGATAATATTCTGTATCTTATTGTCCATGTAGAGATCTAGTAAATCCTTTATAAATCAAATGTTAGCATTGTAAATAATGTTAATATGTATTTATACAAAATAAATTTATCTACTTTTGGTGTGATGTGTTTTAAATCGTAATTTTTTATATTATTATTTTTTGTTTATTTTCCCTTTCGTTCTCTTTAGACCTTAATTTTTTTAAGAGTCACATTTAAAGATGAATCACATTGACTTGTTTTCCTGAAGCATATTAGGGGATGCTCTTCTCCACCCACAAATGATGTTTCCCAAATGGCTTCTACTTCCACATTTTATTTTATTTTATTTTTTTTAATATATTTTATTGATTTCTTACAGAGAGGAAGGGAGAAAGATAGAGAGTCAGAAACATCGATGAGAGAGAAACATCAATCAGCTGCCTCCTGCACACCCCCCACTGGGGATGTGCCCGCAACCAAGGTACATGCCCTTGACCGGAATCGAACCTGGGACCTTTCAGTCCGCAGGCCGACGCTCTATCCACCGAGCCAAACCAGTCAGGGCTACTTCCACATTTTAATAAGTCAACCTACTGTAACTTATATGAATTAATTGGATGATAAGGGGTAACCACAAGCATCACTATAAGCACTCATATTATGCACTGAGAATAGAGACAAGGTCTCAGATTGCTTTCTCCATTGTAAATATGCTTTCTTAACTTCCACTTTTGAGACCATCTTAAGGATTTGGGGGGTGGAGGGAGGAGGGACTGCCTTAAAACCACCAAATAGAACAAATGATGCCAAAGGAAAAGGGGAACTTTTAGAGAATGCGGCCTAAAGTATATTTCTACTTGTTAGGGATATAGTTGCATCCTTTTTTCTGTATCCTGTGTCCGGCTCCTAGTTCCAGCAGGAAATGACAGAGATGTTCTTCCCAGTGCACCTTTGTTTTCCTCACTTGGGTTTCTGGCCTGAATCCATGACTGCTTTCCTAGTGCTAGTCAATACTAAAGAAATTTTGAGGACCCCTTCTCTTAAAATCCAAACCATCACACAGTACTTTGCATACAGGACAGCTCTTCCTGCCACATCTCTGTGCCACAGGCGGTTACTGTCGGAATGTCATGTTCCATCAATACCTCTTTCCAATTTTTGGTTGGCCATCAGGCACTGTCCTATAGGCTTGGGAATACATGGCTGAGCAAATCAGACAAAAATAAGCCTTCAGGAATTTTACATTCTAAGTAATTATATCCATGCACCATTTAGCAATTATACCTATTTACTTACAAGAGCTGATAAGTAAAACTTTGCTTTATTACACAGGATTCTACCCCAGTTTGTCATTTTATTGAAGGGAATTTTAAATATCTTATTGGGATTTACCCATACTTGTTAGTCCTCTGATAAATGTTAGAGAGCCTCTAACAGAGTCCAGTTTCCCAAAATTACAAACAGAATTGCCTAAAACTGATGAGGTTATCTCAATACTCAAATCTGAAAAGTTGTTTCAAAACCTTTCAGGACCGCCTTCGGGTCTTAAGTCCTTGACCCCCGAGGCGCAGCAATGGCGGGGCATTCTCCCTCCTCGCCGCTAGGGGGCAGTCGGTCTGGAGAGGCTGGGTCCTTTCATCCCTCCTCCCAGGGAGCGTCACGCCCTCCTCTCGCCTGTTCCCCAGACCACTCACGCGCAGGCGCGGGCTGGAGCGCGCACCGCGGAGCCGAGAGGTCACGAACTCTGACCCCCTCCAAATACACAAACCCAGAAAGCTCCCTGCCCCCACTTTCCTCTACCCTCCCCCTCATCCTTCTCCAAGCCACCTCCTCTCGGCGACCCCCGGGAGCTGTCGCAGCGGGACCGTCCGGTCCACGCCCGGTGCCGGACTCAGTTCGGCGGAGAAGCCGGTAAGAAGCGCCGGGTGCGGCGAAAG